TCATTTGGTATAACGTCTTATTTACCATCTAAATATTATTATTCTCAGAGGCAACTTCCCTTTCTTATATACAATTTCCTCTTTGTTAAACATTCAAATTCTCTTTATTATAAATCCTATTGCAAATAGTAAAAACAGAAGTGACCACAGAACACACACACACAGTACTCTGACAACACTAAACGACCCACAACCAAGCGGTATAATGTCACCCTCGTTACAGTCCACCAAAAGTCTGATATACTAAGTCCTATTCATGTATAGCATTAGGAGGTTAAGCTAGTATGTGGGCTTAGAAACGTCTGAAAGTGATGTCTGCCTGGAACAGTTTCAAACCCTCAAGTAGTTTGTTCAAAAGCCTCAAGGGCGCTCTCTTCTGCCTGGTAGATATCTCTGGTCTTGGATGATTAGGTTAGTAACTAATAGTATACTCTTGTTCTCTTCAATATGTGGACAATAATCAACATACATTTTAACTTGCACGAATCGTTTCTACAAGCAATCCATCTACATCACTGATATATATATATATATATATATATATATATATATATATATATATATATATATATATATATATATATATATATATATATATATATATATATATATATATGTATATATATATATACATACATACATACATATGTGGAAGAAAAACCCACAATGCACAAACTAGATTTATTGATGAAAGTGAGACAACAGTTTCGGAATCGTCCTCGATTCCGAAGATGGAATCGAGGACGATTCCGAAACTGTTGTCTCACTTTCATCAATAAATCTAGTTTGTGCATTGTGGGTTTTTCTTCCATATTATCAACACGGTATTGTGTTTTTCTTTGCAACATACATATGTATATATATATGTATATATATATATATATATATATATATATATATATATATATATATATATATATATACAGTTATAACAAAGAAGGAATGTAATGCTCTGATATCAGAAACTTAGTGGATAGAATACATTAACAACAGTTCAAATATTCATTCATATGCAACTTTAGAAAAAAAAATGTACACAAGGCCACAGGTGAATTAATCATTTACGTTTTGCAAATATTGATGAGCGGTCCGCCACTGCCCGGGGTCACACCTGTGGGGTTCTCAGCACCCAAGTCATGGCTGTCCTTGGATTTGACCCCTCCCTGGCCTCCGTACTGCGACCACACTGTCACCTGGGGAAAAAGGAGTGGTCTTAGGATCTTTTATGGTTGAGTATGAAGGCCATAACTGATCATAAAAGTCAAGATATATACTTTCGCCCACGATTTCTTTTCCGCAACTGAACCGTCCAGCGAATTATTCACGAGCTTACCTTATTGAGACCTTTCACAAGAAGAGGTCGAGGCACATACAGGGTTCTCTGTGGACCAGCGGACCAGAACCTGCCCAGATTGAAGTCGTTGACAAACACGACGCCCTTCCCCCACCCGCAGGCGTCCAAGAAGGTGTCCTCAGGCTCATCCTGAATTTCAAAATCCCCCTGAAGCAACGCTGGTCCTACCACTTCTTCACCCGCGTAGGACCTCCAGCCTAACAATCTGGTCACAGAGGAACATGAACTTCTCGGTAGCTATTAGAAGTAAAGTATTATGAACTATTGATTGCAGACATGAACATCCAAAGTTGTTCTACAGACCACGAAAAATGCGTTTATTGAGCATTTTGTTAGTTTAAATTTCCGTCTATAACATAGACATCGATATCTTATATGTTACTCGTGAGATTGTCGTGCACTGGCAAGAATATATCAATGCTTATAAGCGCCTTTGCGGGCAATTGTTATGAGAATACCGCGTGTCCCATTTATAAGATGCACAAATTAAAACCATTATGATAGTGATGGAGTAAAGGATGGCAAGGGATGAAGCAGTAAAATCTAGCTGGACTTGATATTAACAGAGAAGACAAGAGAGAGAAAATCGGTGCGGTGAAACGCAGCGTAAATAAGGCTGTAAGAAAACCAACAGATGACTCTACCAATTACCTGTCTATTTCTCCACTCTTGAATTCGAGCGGGTAGATGAGCCAGTCCTTGAGCTCTTCACTGCCGAGCAACACTGGGCCTTCACTAAGTCCCTTTTTCATTGTGAAGTCATGAGGCTTGCCATAGTTAACACGACCCATGTTTTCCACTAAAATGTCTAGTGTGTGTATGCCACTGTACTCACTCGAGAGCTCAAAGGTAGAGTTTCTGGAAAAGCAAGAGAAGTGTTATAAACTAAATGTGAATGATGAAAGAAGGGGTTTATCATCATCTAGACCGATAATTCATAAACCAATGTAAATAAATTTCAGGGGTGGTGACACAGGGCCTGGAATATAAACTGGAAATTGGTGTAATTCCATTAAGATTCTTCTTAGTAAATGTCGCGTTGTATAAGGATGTTCCTTATACAACATTTTATCTGTTTCTTTAATAAATAAATAAATGAAAAATTGGAGACCAAGGGGCGGGGTGTTGAAAAATGCACAAATCTAAATTGAAAGAGAGATTCATCTTTTCACCTTTACAAGAACCGCAGAGCTAGATTAAGATAAACCTACATTATAAGACAGAAATTCGCCTTTCCACCCACACAAGAACCTCTAGGATACCCTAAATTAAACCTAAGTCGCAAAACAAGGTCACATACTCACCCATACAAGAACTGCTAAGTTAGACTGAGATAAACGTACATTATAAGACAGATAAATGTTTCATTCGAACAAGAGCAGCCGAGCTAGAGTAAATTAAACCTACATTATGAGACAGAGAAATTCCCCTTTTTCACACGTACAAGACACGCCAAGCTAGACTAAAACAAACCTACATTATAAGACAGAAATTCACTTATACAAGAACCGCCGAACTAGACAAAAGTAAAGCTACATAATAAAACTCGCTTTTTCACTCGTGCAAGAACCACTAATCTAGACAAAAACAATCCTCCATTATAAAACAGACAAATTCACCTTTTCACCCGTACAAATAACGCTGAGCTAGACAAAAATAAACATACATGATTAGACAGATATTCACGTTTTCAAAACCATTAGAAGACAGAGAAAGTTACCTATTTTACCCATACACGAACCACTGTGTTTGACAAAAACAAACCTCCATTATAAGATTGAAAAAATTATCTTTTTTTACCAATACACGAACCAATGAGCTAGACTAAACTAAACCTCCATTATAAGATTGAAAAAATTATCTTTTTTTACCAATACACGAACCAATGAGCTAGACTAAACTAAACCTCCATTATAATACAGAGAAATTTACCTTTTTTACCCATACAAGAACCACTGAGCTTGATTAAACTAAACCTCCATTATAAGACAGAGAAATTCACCTCTTCACCCATGTACCAAAAGCGTCCAGATCCCGTGGCTCGTTGATGCAAGGCGTGACAAGCTTCAAGTCGACGAGGAGAAGAGCAAGGTCCCTCACGTGCCCTCTGATGGTTAGTGTGGCTCCTCCTTTGGGTACAGTGATGCGCGTGCGGTACAGCGTGTATCCGTAGGCCTGCCCGTTGCCCTCATTGATTGGGAGGTCTTCCATAGCCATTACATGTGGACTCTTTACGTGTGGTAGCTGAAAGGGTGAGGGAGAGACCTTTGGTGTTAGTGCAGTCTAAAATGGACATTGGCATTAGTTAGATAATAATATTTCTGCTGTGTCCTGGGATGCAGAACGGTTGTATTTGTTAGTTTTGGTAAACTGATGAATACTCTTTATGAGGTTTACATTTGTGTAAAGTCATAAGGGACTGTGTAGGATTACTTGTTAAAGTAAGAGAGAGAGAGAGTGCCCTCTGTGAGTGAGTGTGAGAGTAATGAGTGAGTGTGAGTGTGAGTGTGAGAGTGAGAGTGTGAGTTACATTGTTTGTCTTCTTTATGAAAATTCGAAGACTCATTCAATGTATCTTATGCTCACACACACACTCACACCCTCACTCACACTGAGTTTGTGTAAATATAAAATACACTGAATAAGTTTTCGTATTTTTCATAAAGTAGACACTCACTCTCACTCGCTCACTCCTAGCGCCCTCATCACTCTCATTTTCATATTCACTCACTCTCACTCAGTCAAAATTATGAAAACAATATAATTTCTTGTCTTCCATATATACTGTTCATGCACATATATAGACTTGTGAGTATATGTTCTGAGCCATCACTTTAGCAACATAACCGAGGATATATGTTTATGATTAGAATATCATTCGAATTACCCTTTAAGTGTGTTGCACAAAGTGTCTAGTCTTACTCTTGTAATTACTATTTTAGCTTGAAACAGAAAAAGGTAATAGGTAAACCTACACTAACCTAACGTTTTTCTTTTATTTGAACCGATTAATCTTCTTACAGAGTAATTTACAGTTAAAGGAATACAAAAAACTATACATAACAAATGCATATCATCTATTTGTGTTTTATAGTAAGGGAGTAAAGAGTTGGTATATCGCTAGTGCCTCGAATATAATGGTTTTCAAAGTGTCGCCCGACTAAAAGGGTTGGAAACCATTGCTTTAAATTGATTTTAAAAAATGCTTCTTTTAGGTTGACACTTTCTTGTTTCGTCTTTTACTACCACTTAAAAAGTACTAATAACGCTTCTACCAAGATCAAGCAGGACAGTAACTCGTGCACAGCCTATAGCACAGTCAGGGGCGGGGGGGGGGGGGTCAGCTCCTCCCCTACTTAAGATTTTGTTTGCCCCCTCAAGGTTTGGCTTTATCATTAATAATATATATATATTTATATTTATATGTATATTACTAAACTACGCCTACATACGTCTGGTTATAGCTTAAAACGATCCTAGCATAGCTATTTTTCTTTGTTTTCTTTTCTTTTTTTTTTTTGTTCGCTCCGCTCGCCTACCCATCTTTACACTCCCCCCCCCCCCTTACCCACTACCAAGAAAAAACTGAAATGATTCCCCGGCACAGCTATCACCACGAGCCGTATCTAGCTCTATGGATGAAATA